CCCCAAAACCCCAAAACCCCAAAACCCCAAAACCCCAAGATACAAGAATATATATAAAAAATAGAAATATGGAAATAAATCTATTTAATAAAATTAAACCCTTAGTAATCATTCACTATTATTGATATAATATCTTAAAAATTTTAAACATTTAAAACTTAATCACTCAAGCTATAAAAATAATATTCTTCTAAAAGATATTTCCATGGATAGATCTGCTTTAATTTTAGACCTCGGATCAGAGAGCACTAAGGCTGGGTTTGCAGGAGATGTTGACCCAAAATGTGTTATCCCTACAATTACCGGTGAGTACAGGGTCAAGAATGCCGAAGTAGGATAAGGTGGTTACCATCGTTTACTAGTTGGAGATGAAGCCCTTCATAAAAGTGGACTTTTGACATTTTACAACCCTGTAGAAAATGGGGTGATTAAAGACTGGGAAAGAGCTGAAGGCTTTTTGAAATATTGCTTCAGCAATGAGCTAAAAGTTGCCTCAGAAGAGCATAATGTGATCATGAGTGAAGTTCCATTCCAGTCACCTGCTGATAGAGAGAAATTAGCTCAACTAATGTTTGAGACTTTCAATGTTTCTGGATTTTACCTTGCCAACCTAGGCCTACTCTCTGTATAAGGAAGTGGAAGATAATCAGGTATCTTTTGCGAGTCTGGTGCTCATATGACCCACACAATACCAGTTAGTGATGGAGTTGTAATCACTTCAGCGATTCAAAGAGCTGAATTTGGAGGCAAAGATATCAATGAGCTTATGATAAAGCTTCTCTCAGATAAAGGATACTCATTTACTACAACTGCAGAAAGATTAAATGCCAGATAACTTAAGGAAAAATATTGCATCGTTGCTCAAGACTATGAATCTGCCCTTGAGGATAATGAAGAAAAGTACTACGAAACTCCAGATGGCACAGCTATCAACTTTAGCAATGAGAGATACAAAGGTGCAGAGGCTATTTTCAAACCAAATGACCTTTGTGGAAGAGGCGTCGACTCAATCCAAGATATGATCATGAAATCTATCGAAGGAAGCGATGAAGGGGTCAGAGCAAATCTTTTTGGAACTATTGTTCTATCAGGAGGTAACACTTTGTTTGAGGGCATTAGAGACAGACTTCAGAAGGAGATTGAAAGCAGAGCTGGAGACCCAGGCATTGTGAGAGTCATTGCTGATGATTCTAGAAAATACGGTGTCTTCAATGGAGCTTCCATCTTAGCTTCTTCATCTATGATGGATACAATGTGGATTCAGAGGGAAGAGTATGCCGAAAGCGGAGCCTCAATTGTTCAAACCAAGTGCCCCTAGTGACCTAATAAATCCTTAAGTTGACTAATTTAAGGAATATCCTCAATCTCAGGAGATCTGGAATCAGTAAAAATTTATAGAAATAATGCTCGACAGGTTGAATGAAATTATAAGGGATCTCCAACCTTCATTTATTGATAAATATAATACGTATCACAATTCATAAAAATACGTTAATCTCATATTATGGGGTTTTGGGGTTTTGGGGTTTTGGGGTTTTGGGG